ACGGGCTTACAGCTTTCCAAGTTGACACTTGGTTACAACAAAAGAGTACTAACTCGTTTACACATTAAGCCCTTGGCTTGAAGTTACATGTAATACATCAAAAGTAAAACGACAAAAGTATGTCCGTCGCTAGCCTCCCAAGCTATGTCCTTGGACCCCTATCTTCCCCTAAACCGCGGAGTACATCCCCCATCTCCTCGTCTACACATAACGTATACAAACACATTGGTTCTATATACAATCACCCAATACATACAGTTAATGTATTCTGTCACCCGTCAAGTTCCATGACACATTCCATTGATTAGTTTCAGTTTGCCTAATCATCATGCATTGTCTACAACAATCACGACTATCCTCCACCGATAGCCCAAAGCAGTTATTTCTAAACAGAAAATAAATGCACAAATGGATATTCAATCAACATTTCATTTCCTCATTTCTACCAATTAATTATCCCAATTAATCAACAATGTAATTAGGCCATTTTCCATAATTACCATTTCAACCCTAAGGTCCCATTTCCATCAATGATTCAACAATAAGTCCATTTCTCTATTCCAAACATGCTCCTAGGTTTATTATGAATAAAACCCCAACTTTTTGTAAAATTACACAAAAGCCCCTAACTTTCACAAAATTACCAAACCAAGCCCAACATCTCAAAATACCAAAATTTAGAGACAAAAACCATAGAGAGGAGTAGGATATCCCTACCTCGAAGTTTGAGCCAAAAAGGAGATGAAGACTCGAAGATCAACGTGCTCCAAATCCAAACTTTTTCAGATTAAATCGAACCTCTCAACGCCCTCTATCTTTTTAACAAAGGCCCTAGGCTAGATTCACACCCTAGGGAGATCAAATCTTAGAGAGAATGTAAGTTTAGAGAGAGAGGGTCTCGGATCTAGGTTTTGGAAGAAAAAGAAAGTGAAAAAGTTAAGTTCAAAAACGCTACTGTCCGCTGATATAAAACACGCTCGCTCGAGCGAAGCCTTCGTTGCTCGAGTGACCAGACACAAAAAACTCTCGCTCGAGCCAAGAAGTTCTCGATCGAGTGAAGAAAAACCCAGACCGCTCGAGCGAAGGAAGCTCGCTCGAGCCAAGAAAGGCAACTCTCAGGTCCAGAACCAGACGCCATCGCTCGCTCGAGCGAAGCCACTCTGGCTCGACCCACCAGACACGAACTCAACTCTCGCTCGAGCGACCAACTCCTCGCTCGAGCGAAGACCCAAAATTCTGGGTACCAACACTAGGCTCCCAAACACAACCAACCTGTAACAAACCTGCCCAACACATCCTATAACTCAATATACAAAGTAAAAAGGATGCAAACCAGATAATAAACAACTACCAACATCCACGGACACATGTCCGGATCACTGTGCAACAAGGGTAAACCCGGGATCGCTATATTCAACATCTATATAATAAAATAGGATTATTTTTGAATTTGTCCTACACACATTTGTTCTGCTAGGACATTTAGACGGCTTAAATCTATTCAAATTTTAAAACAACGGTTGGGAAATATTTCCGAAAAATATCCTACATGTACATTTTTTATTTTCCCGCTTCTCTCTCTTACTTTTTCCTTTTCTCACCCATCCTTCCATGATCCCATGATCCCACCTTCCTCTCTCTTTTCTTTTCGTTTCATTTTTTTGTTTTCTCTCATTTTTATTTTTCTCTCTATTTGTTTTTTTTTTTATTTACTCCTTTTTGTTCACTTATTTTTATTCATATTATATGGAAAAGTCTACCATCGCTGAATTAGGAGCCAGATTTTACTGTATGTAGTGGAGATTACATTAATGAATTTTATTGTCCACAAATTAAATGAATTTGAGCAATTAATTATTATTTTTAAATATATTGAATACCTGATAGACTTCATAAATTTGGACCTTATATGAATCTTCAACATATTTTAATAAATTAGGATGGTTTTTGAATCTTCAACATTTTTTTGTCCTATTAGGATATTTGGATGGCTCAGATCTGCTCAAATTATAAAACAATGGCTAAGATATATTTTCTCAAAAAATATCCTACAAATATATTTTCTACTTTTCCGCTTCTCTCTCTCTTACTTTTTTTCTTTTCTCACACATCCTTCCATAATCTCATGATCCAACATTCCTCTCTCTTTTCTTTTTATTTTTTTATTTTCTCTTTTTTGTTCAATATATTTTACACATATTTCCATACAATGTATGTATGCCCGTAATACCTAGAACATTATGGATATACATACAATTTCTGTATAATTATATAAGCAAAAGCAATATTGTACGTATGCCTGTGAAAATTGTATGTATATTAGGCACATCTATCTATCTAGTTATATATTATATAAGCAAAAGCGAGTTTTCGTGAGGAGTTTTGTGAGAACTCCAAAATTTTATAATAAATTTGTGATTTTATCAAATTAAAATAAAAATTAAATTTAAATAGTATTGGGATTACAATTATATTCTAATCCTAACATTATTTACATCGTGCCTTCAGGCACGGGCATACGCTAGTATATATATATATTGTCCCTTCAATTTGGTAATTGAGGTGCCCATAAATGTAGGTTGCATTGCAGCATCAAATCCAATTTTGTTCATCTCTATTTTCTTTGTTTCAATGTATTTAACATATTGTCCCTTCACTTTGGTAACAGAACTGACTTATAATGTTAGCAATTTGGAGGTCCTCATCCTCTCATGGAATCAGCTAAATGGAACATTGCCAATAGAAGGCAAGAAATTTTTCATTTTAAGTTACATGGTTAATTTGTTTTCAAATGGATGTCAATTCATCGTCTTTATTATTATTTTTTTAATGTTAAGATCATTTTTGAGCTTTGTTATTTTTGTAAGTTCTTTTGGCATCATTTATCTTTTATTATATGTTTTTGCAGGTTTGGCATCTTTCTACCACCTGAAGATCTTGGATTTGCAATAGAATGGTTTCTATGGGAGTGTTCCTCCATTCATAGGGGCATCTTCTCTGAAAGCTTTATATTTGAATTCAAATAAATTTAATGGTTCTTTACCCATTGAAGGTAAAAATCTACCACGATGGTTTGTTAATGTAATTGTTACAAACTAAAAGCCAGACAAAAAGAAATTTAAATAAAGATGCTAATTTGCTGGGTTTTGTTTATTTATTTATTTATTTATTATTATTATTATTATTATTATTTAAGTTCATTGCTTTGTGCTTGTTTAATTTGTTCATCGTTGATGAAAACTTTGAACTGTCATTACCTTTCCTCTTAAGAAGTAGTCAATTTCTTATAATAGCAAACATTTTAAAGAGTAGCATATAAGTTTCTTCTAGCATGACCAGTGAGATGGGCATTACATAAATTTGTTGCTTTTGCAGGTTTATGTGAACTGAAGAAACTTGAAGAGCTCGACCTCAGCTATAACCACATTGAAGGAATCCTTCCTCCATGCCTAAGCAATTTGACATCTCTCAGGTTGTTTGATGTTTCTGGGAACCAATTCACAGGAAACCATTTATCATCTCTGCTGGGCAGCCTCAATTCCCTAGGGTACATTGATCTTAGGCATAATCGTTTTGGGGGATTATTCTCATTTAGCTCATTTGTGAACCATTCCAAGCTTGAGGTGGTTGCAATTACAAGTGATAATGACAAATTTGAGGTGGAAACTGAATATAAAGATTGGTTACCCATGTTTCAGTTGAAGGTCTTTGTGCTACCAAACTGTAATCTGAACAAGCGCTCTGGTGATTTTCCGAAGTTTCTTCTTCACCAGAACACACTAAGTTTTATTGATCTCTCCCACAACAACTTGGAAGGTTCATTCCCAAACTGGCTACTTGTGAACAATACGAAACTGGAATATTTAAGTCTGCGGAATAACTCTTTTGTTGGTGAATTTCATTTGTCGCCATATTACAATTCTTATACTTGTTGGATGGATGTTTCAGACAATCAATTAATTGGGCATATTCAACTTAATATGGGGGAGATGGTTCCATATCTTATACACATAAACCTATCCAGGAATGCTTTTGGAGGTAGTATCCCATCCTTAATTGGTAAGATGAGAATTTTGGAGGTTCTAGATTTATCCAGTAATAATCTTTCAGGAGAAGTATCGAAGCAGTTAGTCAGAAATTGCAGATCTCTACGTTCTTTAGCATTATCAAATAACAAATTTCATGGCCAAATGTTTTCAGATGACTTCAAATTGACTCAGATAGAGTATTTACGATTGAACGATAATCAGTTTACCGAGCCTCTGACAAATGTGGTCTTCAATTTGTCTAAACTTTCTATGTTGGATATTAGCAACAACAACATGTCAGGTAAGATTCTAGATTCGATGAATAACGTGATATGTTTGAGAGCATTGATCATGCGAAATAATGCATTTAATGGTCAGTTCCCATGTGCACTGATTCCAAATGTGTTTATGGACATCTCTCATAACTCATTTTCGGGAACACTTACTTCTTGCTCAAACCCAAACTTGGGAGTCCTGGAGCATGTGCATTTGCAAGGGAACCATTTTACGGAATTCATTCCAGAAGCTCTTACTAATTTATCAAAACTTGTGACATTGGATGTCAGTGACAACAACTTGTCTGGCAGCATTCCCCTGTCCATTAGGTTGCTTGCCAACCTTAGCATTCTTGTATTGAGAGGAAACCAATTGGGTGGTTCCATTCCAACACAACTGTGCCAACTGAATAAGATAAGCTTGATGGATCTTTCCAAAAACTCTTTTACGGGGTCTATACCAAGTTGTTTAAGTAATATCACATTTGGGGCAATAGGGGCTGCTGATCTTGCTTTCGCTCAAACACCTTTAGAATTTTACAGCACTAGGCATATCTTCTATGTGTATGAAAATGTCCTACTTCCACATCTAGATATGATCTTTGAGATTGGTGGCCCTGATGGCTCATATGATAAAGTAGATGAAGTTGAGTTTGTTACTAAGAGTAGGACTAACTCCTACCGGGATGGCAGCATCCTTAACTTCATGTCTGGATTGGATTTGTCATGTAACAAACTAACAGGTGAAATACCTTTTGAACTAGGGAAGTTAAGTAGTGTTCGTGAACTGAACTTGTCTCACAATCTCTTGATTGGACCCATCCCGAAGACCTTCTCAAACCTTACTCAAATAGAAAGTTTGGACCTTTCTTACAACAATTTGAGTGGAAACATCCCAACAGATCTAATCAATCTAAATTTTTTGGCAGTGTTCATTGTGGCTCACAACAATTTATCAGGTAAAATATTAGACAGAAAGGCACAGTTTGGGACCTTTGAAGCGAGCAGTTATGAGGGAAATCCATTTCTTTGTGGACCACCATTGGAGAACAATTGCACAGCCATTGTTGACTTGCCATACTCGCCAACAACAACATCCTTAGATGAAACTAAGGGGAAATGGTATGATATCAATCAAGTGGCTTTTTTTGCAAGTTTTGTCGGAACATACATTACTTTCTTGTTTGGATTTGCTGCTGTTCTATACATCAACCCGTACTGGCGACAAAGGTGGTTCTATCTGATTGAAGAGGGTATGTGGTCAAGTTATTATTTTGTTTGTAATACTGTTTACAAGCTTTTACGTTTTCAGCCTTCTGTATAATTAGCTATGCATGGTTTGTTTTCATGGACAAGCGCAACAAATGTTTGTAATAGTTAACTTTTTATTTCTTATGAATAAAAAACAACTATTAATAGCCATTATTGTCTTCTTATTTTCAACCCCCCCTTTTTTTTTTTGCCTGTTTTTGTTGCTGATTTGAAACACTTCTTCTTTTTTTTTTCGCTACATCGGAAAGAAAATTTGAAACACTTCTATCAGCTTTTATAAGTTGATATTTTACTCGGGATGCAGAACTGTGTAGGTCCGGCCCCTCGATTTTTGATAATTTATTATTAATTTCATATTTATGAATACAACAATGTTAGGTAACTCAAAATTTTGTGACTCAAATCACTTAAAACAATGTCGTTTTGAGTGTAAAACGACGTCGTTTTAATAAATTTGAGCCATTTGAGCCACAAAATTTTGGGTTACCAAACATTTTCCTTATGAATATTTTTAAGGAAAATGATTTGGAGCCCTAAAAATATCCCCCTAATTCCCCTAATTTCCAATTTGGGCAACTTTTTCCTTTTTTTTTTTTTTTTTTTTTTTTTTTTTTTTTTTTTTTTTTTACTTGATATGGAAATTAGGGGGATTAGGAGGGTATTTTTAGGGGGATGTAGCAATACCCTATTTTTAAAATGTATAATGAGATGATTTTTTAATTTTATAAGAATTATTTAACTAACTTTTTATTTCATTAGTATTTTGTAATATGTAATGAAATAATCTCTAATTATTTCATATTTTAAATAATAGCATCAATTTAATGGAGTAAATTTTATTAATACAAAAGATATATGTCGCTTAATTTTTAAATTTTAAAAATCAAATGGTATGTATACTTTTCTTATGAGTAATGCTAGAGAACTTAAAATGTTATTCTTAAATTTATTCACAATGACATGGCAGAAGTTAGGTTTTAATTAATTGATTTCTAAAGAAATAACTAACATGTAACATATTCACGTCATTGACTATAAATTTAAAGGTCATGTTTTAGGAGTCTAAAACATTTTTCATGTTTTATTTAGAAGATTATATCAATCAATAAAATAATACAGAATAGTGGTTTAACTGATTGTATATTGAGATCTAATAGTTCAAAACTAAAAAAATTGTTTTTTAGATTTATTTAATTTTTTTGTGAAATACTTTTAATACAACGTTTATATAGGAAATTATATTAAATTACTAATGTACCAAAACTAATTCAGTATTTTTATGCATATATGTTGGTCTCTCCCGAACAAAATTCCTAGTTCCGCCCCTGATCTCAATACACTCTATTTGTGTGGTTTGAATATAAATTTTTTAACAAAAATCAAATATTTGAACATAAACTTGTGAATAAAAATGAATTGTTCAGATATATATTTCGTTCACTATTTATGTCCCAATAATTATTTTTTGTTCATAAATTTATATCCAAATATTTAACTTTTGTTCAAAATTTTATATTTAAATAATATATACTGAGTTTTTTTTTTTTTTGGTAGTGTACAAATAAGATTATTCTTACTAGTGCTGTAGAAACCAAAAAAAGTTAGAAAAATGGTTGAGAGTACTAAAAGTGGTGTTCTAATTGTAATGATGTGGTAGTGGGCGCCACTAATGGTTTTTTTTTTTTTTTTTTTTTTTTTTTTTGACATTCCTAATACATTAGTGTTATTAGTGATCTTTTTTTTAATGATATGAATCATTGTTGAAAATGTTGTACCTAAGGTTCTTTCAAACTTGAGTGGTATTCGTTCCTTGCTGAAAATCATCATAAATAGTAAACTAGCAAGGTTGATGAGTTTATTTCACAGAAGGTTGGATAAAGACGAAAAAGATGATATTGTATGTAAAAGGCCATTTCTTTCTTCTGTTTTTATTTTTTTATTTTATTTTATTTTATTTTTGTGTGTGTAGATTATGCGATTTTATTCGTGCCAATGTCATATTCTAATATGCTAGTGTCGAAATGTCATATTTTAAGAGACTCCACCTTAACAATGCATGTGTTAAATTTTTATTTTTTAAAAATTAAATGCACTCTAATAATTAATATTAATAAAAACTTCAACTTATTAGTTTATCACGAGATCCAATACTCAAATAGATTAAACACATTGCTCGTCACCATGATTCAAACTTTTAAATTCCATCATAGATTTTGTATGATTTTATTGAAATTTGAACATATAAATATGGTCAAGGCAACAAAAGTAAAATTATCAAGTGACTGTATTTTATATATTTGGAATGCTTTTAAATTATATTTTAAATTTAAATTATTTTAATAGGATGGTTAATGTTTTTTAAAAATATAAAATTTAATTTTAATATCAATTTATTGATTTTAGTAAATTTATTATAAAATAATACATGGCATGACATTTTTTTTTGAAGACAAAATAGTAAAATTTAAAAGTCAATTGTCAAACATTCATTATTAGTTATAGTACATTATTGGAGTTATTCTAAGACTTTGTTTGGATTATAAATTTTGAGTAAAGATTTAAAAAAAAAAATGAAAAAAGTGTGAAAACCATAAATGAAATGTAAGTTAAAATTTTTCTCCATTTTCATTTTCCTTTCTTTTACCAAATTTATATCCAAAATATATGATCCAAATAGCCTTTTTTTTTTTTAACAGAAATACAACGTAAGCCAAGGGAGCTGTTTCTAGTGGAAGATTTTCTCATTTTCTCTTTCTTCAAGGTTCCAGGTGTTTGTAAAAAGTTGTTTCTAATGAGAAAAAAGTTCCATATATTCATCCAGTCTCCTTCACCAGAAATGCTTCATCTTAGCGGTAGATTGGCTTGACTATAGATTTGGGCCTCTTCAATTTCAGCACTATACAAAGTAATGGCTTGAATTGGATTTGATAATCCAAAGCAAGTTGGAGGTGGTAATATTGAGAGATAAGCAACTAAACAGGAATGTCTATTGACTTAAATGTATACTAATTTTTATTAATTTTAAAACCTACTTATCATTTTTATTAATTAGTTTTGATTACGTCAATCTTCATAAAAAATAAAAAATAATAATAAAAAGTTAATATAATTATGTTAAAAAATTAAATCATAACAAAAATAACTTTTTAAATTAAATAAATATTATAAATATTATTAATTAAAATCATAAACTTTTATATTTTTATAAAGAATTTACTGTCAACTTGAATTGAAAATACAATGGAAAATTACATGCAGGTGAGAGTTGGGAAAAAAATTTACAAACACATGGGGGTGCAAGTGTATCTATGGTGGGGTGCAAATGAAAGGCTGTATGAGTGCAAGTGTCATTTGCACCCCTCCATGTGCTAATAATTTTTTTTCCCAACTCCCACCTGCATGTAATTCCTTGATTTGTTGATAATTTTTTTTTCCAACTCCCGCCTTTCCCTATTCCCACTTACATGTAATTTCTCTATATATTGATAATTTTTTTCCCCAACTCCACTTACATGTAATTCCTTCTCAAATTTCAAAATTTAGGCTCCAATCCTGCTACATCCACACAAAAGGGCCCGCACAAAGAATTAGGATCCTCTCCTTATTCTCTCTCATTACCTCCCTACTTGTTGGGCCATTGAGTCCACTTTTGCGCCCAATTTCGATAATCTAAACCGTTTACATTTTAAGATTTCTTAAGTATATCATACTTGTAAAATATCAAGTTAATCGGATATCAGAAACTACGTGTTTGGATCATCGAAGTAAAAGCTATTTTTAAAAAAAAAATTTAATAAACAGTTTTATGAACACATGCTTTCTAATATCTGATCAATTTAATTTTTTACAGGTATGATATATTCAATAAATTTTAAAATGTGAACGGTTCGGATCATTGAAATTTGGCCCAAAAGTGAGCCCAATAACCTAATAAGTAAGAAGGCAATGACAGAGAGTAAGGAGAGGATCCTAATTCCCAGCGGCAACCCCCCGACTTAGTGAGACGGAATTTGTGAACCACATACTGTGTTGTGCATCTCTTTTCTTTTTTTTGAAAAAAGCAAACGGCCCTCTCTTTCTCAAACAATGACTTGAAGCTCTGGTCCTGCAAGTTCGGTTCTGGAAATACTCTTGCATTGTTTGGATCTTAACTTTGTTAAAAAAAAATTAAAAATAAACCCAGAAATTGAAGATCCAAACAAACACACCATGGAACTAACTTTATCTTTCTTGGAATATATATATATATATTTTTGGTTTTCTTATTGTGATTTGCAAAAACAACTTCTGGACGTGTTTATCCCAAGTTTGGTTCTTTTTCTCATGTCATGAACGTGATATTTAGCACTTTCACTTTCCAACCTTTCATCTTCCTTTATGTTCTCTCCTCTGTTCCTCTACTTTCCTCTGTTTTTAATGGCTGTCCTATACACACAAAGCCATTAAAAAAAGTTTCAGAATTTTTTAAAATTTTTTTTTCTGGGTTTGTGATGATATGCTTGGTGAGACGGTAATTTGTAAACAAATTTGGCCGAGCTAGGAACAGTCTTCTTGGGAAGTTAGGCCGCGCAATGGGTCAAGATAAGAGCTGATGTAGCTCGGTCTTAGACTAAGAAGACACTAGGTCGGCCAGAGATGGGTTGCTAGGGCCTAGACCTAGCTATCTGAACGTAGTCTTTTATCGGACCGAGATGTTGTCAATGGAGAGGGCCGAGCTATGTATAGCTCGGCAGGGTGCAATTCGGTAAATCGGCTCCGATCACACGGCCCAAACAATCGGGGACCGAGATAAGGCAGCTTGGTCAGGAATGTATATCCAAGCATAAGGGAGTGGCCATCTCACTTGGCTTGCAGTGATGCGGGTGTTCTATGGATAAACATTATCCTTGGGCATGAGACTCTTAAGAGGACTCTGCTAAAGAGAGTTAGAGTCCTACTAGGATTGTGCAAACCGTCTCACTTTGTTGGTAGTGAGTATAGTGTTATCAGGATAGACACTCTTCACTGGAAGTGTGATTCCTAGGAGGACTCTTATAAGGAGAGTTGGAATCCTACTAGGATTATGCCAGGCAGAGTCT